GGGGGGGGGGGTGTATACATTTATGCTTTTATTTAATCCTCTTAGCCGCCTTCCTGTGAGCAATTTATTATCTTCATCTTACAGATGAGGAATTGAGGCTCAGAGAAGTTAAGTAATATACCCAAGGTCCCAGTTACTGGCATAGCCAGGAGTCAACTGATAGTACTCTGGGACCATCAGCAGTGGCCCATCTCGTCTCCCTTTAGCCCTGGGCGCTCCTCCCCAGCCCTGCTCTGTGGTTAATACCCCTTTTTTCTCTCTGCCCCTCTCTGGGTCCTCAGCTCCAAGATCTACATGGCTGACCTAGAATCTGCACTGCATTACATCCTGCGGGTAGAAGTGGGCAAGTTTTCTCTCCTGGAGGGGCAGCGCCTGGTGGCCCTGAAAAAGTTTATGGAAGTCCTGGCGCAGGTGAGCAGGGCCCTGGCAGCTGCCATCCGTGCAGCTCCACAGAGGGTCAGTTCGCAGCCCAGCCCCTCCCTCGGGAGCTTGGGGTCTGGCTGGTCACCTGGCCCCAAGGCTGTTCCAGGCCACCATGGGCTGCGACCCTGCAGCCTCAGCCATGCCCCACAGCAGCCTGCACTGCCAGGGACAGCCCTGTGCAGGGGCGAGGGTGGGACGGGCCAGATGTCCTGGGAATTTCCCAGCTGCTTCAGTGGCTGTGGCCCTGCCTGCTGGAGCCACCTTGGCATGAGCCTGGACTGTGGCCTCTCACTCTCTGCCATGGTCATTGGGGAAGCAGGACCCATGAATGCTACAGTGAGGGAAAGAAGCCTTTTCTGACTCTCTTCTGTCCCCTCCCAGACACTGAGCAGAGTCCGACCCGGATCCTGGGCCCCAGCAGGGCCTTCCTTATTCCTTTGTAGTTTCCTGCTCCGAGGCCACTCCGTGAAGTGTGGCTGCTACAAACTGAGGACCTGATGTGTATCGGGCATTTAATCTTCCTAACTTTGCTGTAGGGTGGAGAGTATTACCCCCAGTTAAGGGGCCGGGGATGCTTGCCGAGGCCTCCTGACCTCCCAGGCAGGAGGAGGTGTGATGGAGATTTGAACCGAGCTCTCAGGCTCCAGAGCCTGTGCCCTGTCTCTGCCATGCTCCTTGCTCCTCTCTGCAGGTGAGGCGTGGGCTGCCTCTTCCCTCTGCACCTGCCTCCTGCTCTCTCCCTGCATCTTCCTCTCTGGTTCCTCATCTCCTGCTGTGGTGCCCTGGCCACTGAGCACTGCTGAGTCAGATCCGGGCTCTGGTCCCCTTCAGAGCCCGACTGCTGACTCAGTACCCTCAGCCCTGGGCGCCAGGTCTGAGCTTCTGGGCACAGGTCTGCGGGCAGCTGGGGCTGTCACCTCTGGGGTCACCTGCACCTCTCCCTTGGGAACTGCCTGTCAGGCTGTTCCCTGTGCCCACCTCAGCAGGGGCTGGCCTTCCAGTTCGCTTGGCTTGGTCACATACACGTGTGATTACATGGAGGATCCCGTGAGGTAGCCAGTGCTCATCAGAGTGCTGTTACTGACCCAGGCAAGACAGCCCTCGGCCCCTGCTTGAGGTCGAACCACACTGAGCCCTGTTCTCCAGCCCATTCTGATACTAGAGGCCTTTCCCCAAAAGCCCTGTGAGCTACTTGGTCCCCAATTCCCTGAGGCCTGGGGTGGCTGGCCCAGAGAATCGGAGGCAGAAGGTCCCTGAGTGGTTCTGTGTGCTGCCCTGTCTGACACGTGCCTGGCACCCAGAGTGCTTTGCAGGGTCACTCAGAAGGAGAAGGACACCCCCACCCTCCAGCCTGGACCTCCATGGAGGAATCGTCCAGGGAAATCATTTCTTGTGAGCCACTCAAAGCCAGTTTCTGTTTGGCCCCTGTGGGAATGTTTGCAGCCAGCGTGAGGGAAGAAGGGGACTCAGGAAGTGTGGGAGTCAGGCAGAGGCAGCACCCTCTCAATGGCGCCAGCTTAGCTTCTGCCCTCAGCAGGGGCTGGAAATGAGTTTGGGGTGAAGGAGCCCTCCCTGCCAGAAGCCAGGGCTCAGAGAGGACAGGGCTGGCCTCCGGACAGAGGGAAGCCAGGCCGTGCAGGACTAGGAGCAGAGGGCCTGTTTGAGCCAGGCCTCCCATTCCTGGAGACTGCGGAGCATCTTGGCCCTGCCCTTGTTTGGGCAGCTTCCTCCTGAGCAGTAATAATAGTAGCAGCTCCCATTTCTTGAGGTCTGACAGGGTGCCAGACTCTGCACAGTGCTCTTTGTGTATCAGCGTATTTGTATTTCTCATAACAAACCACAGGGTGGGGATCCATCACAAAGAGAAGATGAAGGCCCAGAGGAGGAAAGCACCTTGTCCCACGCCCTCCAGCCAGTGGGTGGCCAAGCTGAGACTTGCACCCACGTGCCATCTAACTTATGCCCTCACCCACTGTGTGCATGGGGCACCGAGACCTGAAGGGTGATGGTGCTCACTCTGCCTCTCGGCCCCGGGACAGTCGGCCCTGGCTGTGCCTGGTGGGAGGCACTCTGCCAGTCCTGAGGGTGCCCTCCAGCCCCTAGCCCCTGCCCCTGCCCGCCTGAGCTGGGGAGCTCCCTGTGCTCTCATGTGAGTGTCTGGCAGGATTGGCCACTGGGTGGCGTGTGGTCACCAGGGTTTCCCTGTTCCCAGCTGAGAGGGTGACTCCCCGTAGCCCCGAGCCCCTTAATTCATCCTTCCTCCTGACACCATGGCCTGGAAGGCAGAAGGTTCTGAGTCTAATGTTGGGCCAAGGTCAGTGAGGGATGCTGACTTGAAGCTGTAAATTTGTGCTGAGAGCCCAGAGGCCCATGTGAGCTGACTGAGAGGGAGCGTGTCAAAGCCCAGGGCTCTTCCTGGCCTCTCCTCCCTCTGGGGACGTGTCCAGACCAGGAGGTTTGATAAGATTAAGGAAAGGTTTTCTCAGCAGACTGGATCAGTTGGCAGATTTTTCTGTTTAGTGGTCATTCTCATGTCCAGAACCTTCCTTCTCTCAGATGGTTCTCTGCTCGAATTTTCCTCTGCAAGTTTCTCAGTGTCCTCCTGACCTGCTCAGCTGCGGCCCCTCTCTCCTGCCCTGGCCCCCATGCATTTGTGCACATGCACTCGCGTGCACACGTATCTGTCCTCCCTGGAGTCCTTGTGGTTTTAAAGTGCTGATACTAATCAGATTTGAGCTGACTTATTGTCAGAGCAGCTTTTCATGTTCCTCAGAGACTACTGGGAGTTGCCATCAAGATTGGGATCTTGGCTATAAGCCCGTGGGCCGCCTTGTCCCCACTGGCAGCTGTGGAATAAAGATGAGAAGCTGTTTTCCAGCCTTGTCCAGCCGGTCAGGTAGTCAGCAAGTCAGCTGCTCTGCAGAAGATCACCTGAAGAGAGAATGTGTGGCCCAGGGTGCCCAGCAGCACTGGGAGTGACCTGGTGCTCAACCCCCTGGCAGCGTGTGGTCAGGGGTCAGCACAGGAACCCCAGCCTAGAGAGGAGGAGGCCTTCAGGGCGCAGCCCCACTTCCAGCCTCTCTCCTCTCTGCTCCTCCTCCTCCTCCATCCCTCACCTCACCAGGTGCCCCAGAGCCAGGGTGGTGGGAACCACATCTGTGTCTTAGGCAGAATGTTTTTCCACCTTGGCCCTCCTTGCCCCCCCCCTTCTCCTGGGACTGCGGGCCCTTGGGGATGGTTTCTCACCTCCAACTTGTACTGTTCCTCCCCTAGTACTTCCCTGGCCAGCCCTTAGTCCAGAACTTCCTGCACTCTGTGAATGGCTGGCTTAAGAAGCAGCAGAGGAAGAAAATTCCCTACGGTTTCTTTCAAACTGCCCTGGAAAACAGGAAGGAGGTGAGTTTGGGCAACAGTAGAAGTTCCTCTCCCATCTCTGGCTGTGGAAATGGAGAGGGTAACACTGACCTCTGACCTAGGATACCTACCAATTTGCATTCAGGAAGGGGTCAGTGATCCCTGGTTGGGTCCTTCCATTAATAATAAATTACTATTTATTGAGCTCTTTACATGCATATCTTACTTAATCCCCCAACATTAGTTGAAGGTAGATATTATCCCCATTTAGCAGATGAAGAAACTGAGGTTAAGTAATTTGTCTAAAGCCATAAGTGGTTGGGTTGGGATTTTTAAAAAAATAAATGTTCATTATTCTTTCTTTTTTTTATTGACTTCAGAGATAGGAAGGAGTGGGAGAGAGAGGAAGAGAGAAGAGAGAAATAGAAACATCAATGATGAGAGTCATTAACCAGCTGCCTCCTGCAAGACCCCTACCAGGGATTGAGCCCGAAACCTGAACATGTGCCTTTACCAACCAGGAATTGAACACTTCACCTCCTGGTTCATGGTTCGTGCTCAACCCCTGAGCCACACCAGCCAGGCAGTTGGGTTGGGATTTAAAAGCAATTGTGAGACACCAGTTGTGACAGTTTTAACTGCTGCCCTCCATTGCCTCCAAGCACGCCGTGCTACTTGCTCAGTGTGACTTCTCTGTGCCTCTCTGGGGGCGCTGTGCTGGGCCCTTGCTCATGCTGCTGTTTGCAAAGGAGGGCGAGCCGGCAGCCATACAGACTCGTAGGACGGCAAAGCTGGAAGGAAACTCCAAGATCAGAGAGCAGCCCCTCATTTTACAGATCGAGAAGTTGAGGCTAGAATAAGCATGTGACTTGGTCTGTGTCACAGCTTTTCAGTTCTGATGCCCCTTTGGTGAGTATGGCCAGAGGAAGGGAAATGCCACCTTCGAGGTGATAGCCTGAGAGGGGGACCGCATCTGTCTCAGGGCTGTGTGGGGACCTTTCATTCTCGGGGAAGCTTCTCTTCTCATCTCATTGTTTTTCTCCTCCATGTGTGCACTCATATTCATCTGTGTCCCTTAGGGTGCTGTGATTACCAAGAAGGTGAACTGGGTGGGCTGCCAGGGGAGCGAGCCCCATTTCCGGGGCTTCCCCTGCTCCCTGTGGGTCCTCTTCCACTTCCTGACTGTGCAGGCGACGCGGCAGAATGTAGACCCCTCGCAAGAAGCAGGTGAGTCTGGGGCCTGTGCACCCCCGGCCTCGGCCCGGCCCTGTCCTGCCCCCACTGGCTCCCTGCTGCAGGCCCCTCTTTAGGGGATCCTACATTTGCAACCAGCCACACATGACCAGCGTGGGACCAGAGGGGAGGACCTGGAGAAGCCACCTTGGTCTGCCCCCTGCCCTGGGGCCGTGCCTCCCACACTCGGGTGTTAGGCTTCTCCCTGGCTTCCTCGGAGCCATAAGCTTACTTCGTTTTCAGTCTTCATAAAAAATGAGCGGTTCCATTTTCTATACTCCTATAAAGAAAAGAACTGTGTCTGTTTCACAGTTTACAAGGCTGATACCATGTACTTTGAACAGTTTTATTGTTTCCTACTGAAAAACCGTTTTCTAGGGGAAGCTGGGGAAATACCTCACCCCTCCTGCCCTGTTCCCTCCCCAAACTGTGCAGCTGCGCTCCATGACCCACACTGCCGCCCCCTCCCTCCGCTAGCAACCGAAAGGGTGGGCATCCAGTCCAATCTACGTTTACCAAGGGACCAGGGTTATGTCAGGCCCTGGCTCAGCCTGGAGGAGACGAAGGTGGAAAGGGGACAGTCCCTGCTCTTGGTGGGCTGTGGGGCGGAGGCAGGTGGAGGTGCCAGGGCCAGGAGCCAAGAGGGTGAGAAAGATGTTCAGAAAGAAAGGAAATACCCCCCGACACACACTCCTGTTGGTAAGAGGCAACAAGCCTTTATTTGAGGTTTTAAAAAAATAAAAAGAAACCTTCTTGGGAAACACTGATTCAGGCAGAATCCCAAATAGTGTTCTGATTAGGAGACAAAGGCAGGGAAGGGCAGAAGTAAGAAAATGGGGTTCAGAAGTTTGGAAGGAGATGGGTCAGCTCTAAAGTGACCCTTGGGAGGTGGAGAACAGTAGGGAAGGAGACCCTGGGCCCCGCACTGGGTGGGCAGGGGTGTGGGGTTCCTATGCAGATGTGACCATGGTGGGCGTGTGGAGGGAAGGGGTGGGGCTGGCAGGGACAGGCAGTCCGAAGGACCCCTGTGAATGGCGTCTCCTCTCCCCACAGCCAAGGCCCAGGAGGTCCTCCAGGCCATCCGGGGCTATGTTCGCTTCTTCTTTGGCTGCCGAGACTGTGCTGGCCACTTTGAGCAGATGGCAGCTGCCTCTATGCACCGGGTGAGCAGTCGGGACAAGGCTGTTCTCTGGCTCTGGTCTAGCCACAACAAGGTTAACGCTCGGCTTGCAGGTAAGGAAGGGCCGCCACCTCCAAGGCTGGAGTCACCTCCAGAGGGAGGATGAGGTGGGGAACTTTGGAGTCTTGGACCAGAGTTAGGAGTTGGGACACTTGTCCCCCAGGTAACACCCTGTGGATCAGTGTTTCACGGTGCGCAGAGCCTTTCACATGCTCTACCAGCCCTGCTGATGTATGGCAGTATCTTTAGACCCATTTTCCAGATGAGAAAACTGAGGCTTTGACACTCTGAGACCCTGGTCTTCTGATGCCCTTGCTCTGTTTCCCCTGCACCAGAGCCCCTCCCTCTAGCCTGCTGGGGTCGCTTTCCTGCCTCCCCATTCTGCTTTCTGGCTTTTGGCCCCTTACTCAAACCAACAGGGAGAAGAGAGCTGGGCTTTTCTATCCCCCGGGAGGGGTCTAATGATAAAATTCGCTGGAAAGACCAGGTTCTTCCTAGAAATAACAAGGGCTGATTCCATTGGGAGAGGCCTGGTCTGCTGAGTCCCTCATTGTCAGTGTTTCTATTCCCTAAGCATAGGAGCCTGATGGGTCCAGCAGGCAAAAGCATTAAACTCTGGGGGTGACCAGAGCTGGCGGGTGGGGAAGGAGCCATCTGTGGACGGGAGCCTGCGCTTGTCTGTGGGGATAGAGGAATATGTGTGGCTGGAACAGATCTCACAGGGGTGGGAGGTGGGGATAAGGCCTGGGGCAGGGAAGGTTAAAGGAGCTCAATGGAGCAGGTGGTGGTGCAGGTGGCTGCACTTGGTCTTGGTCTCCTGGGGCCTCCTGGGGGACTTTGAAAAGAAGACACGTGCCTGTCTCTCCTCCCACCCCTTCCCTCCCCGCTCCGCCCCTGCCACCAAATGCTCCATCTGACCCTCTAGCCCTCTGACCTCTGCCTGCTTCCAGCTTCCCTCGGGGCCCAGCTACCGCTGGTGGGCCAGGAGCTGGTGGGCCAGGAGCCAGGGCCTCTCTCAGAGGGACCTAAGGAAGGCGGTACCCTATCCTCTCTGGTGGGGTCCTCTCAGATCAAACTAATCACAGCAATGGGAGGTGCACGCTGAGTGCTCACTTTGCAAGGCCCACTCACTGTTACTTCTCAGCCAACTTTTGGAATCTACTTGTCGCTGCCTCCCCAAAACAACCATCTGACTTCTACATCACTTGTGGCTACTTCCTTCTGGCCAGCAACTTGTTTCTTCCTATTAAACCCTTTAGGAGGGTGGCTCCTACACCAGAGATGGACTGATGGGCATTCCCTGGCGACACTGCGTATGGGGCTCAGCCTGGGTTCTGCTCATAGTCCTGGCCCTGCTTGGAGTCCCGGCAGCCTGGTGGGCAGGGCAACTTCCTAACTCTCCTGAGTGTCCTTTTCCTGTCCACAGCCCCAGGCCTCCCCATACCCACCCTTTGGAGCCCACCTGGAGAGGCAACGCCACTAACTCCTTCCCACCCCAAAGGGCTGCAGTGGAGTTACCTGTGGAATTACTATATGCCACAAACTCTTGTTTTAAAAACTTTTTCCCTTTAATTACAAGAGTAACAGATCTCCACTGTATAAAACTTGGAAAAGTTCAGAAAATGGCAAAGAAGACAAATACTAGCAGACCAACCAAAGCTTGCAAGACAGATCCTTCTGAGTCTTCTTGCCCTTTCCCGTGTCTGGTCCAGGGGTAGAAACTAGCAGAGAAGTCAACAAAGGGAGACAGCGGGGTATTACGGGGAAGTGACTGGAAGGGAACTGCTCATACCCCTGGGAAACTAGAGTGCTGGCGTGGGGGTCGGGGAGGTACCGTGTTGGGCTGTGTGGGGCAGGCCCAGGGCTAGCTAGTTTTTTGCCCGCCTCCTTGCATATCTGTCCTTTTCAAGGTGCTGGTGCGTCTTTTTCGTGTTGCAGATGAGGAAGCGGGCATTCTGAACGGAGGAATGAGGTCTGGGCTTCTGGGCGGGCCCAGTGTCCCCGCCAACCTGTGTGTGCTTCTCTCCCCAGGGGCCCCCAGCGAGGACCCCCAGTTCCCCAAGGTACAGTGGCCTCCCCGTGAACTCTGTTCTCCCTGCCACAATGAACTCCGGGGGACACCCGTGTGGGACCTGGACAACACCCTCGGCTTCTTGAAGACCCACTTCTCGCGGAGCAACATCATCATGGACCTTCCTTCAGCTGGGCAGGGCCCCTGGAGGGGTGCCCAGAGGATGGCAGCCACCCTGAAGCCGGAGCTAGTGGCTGGAAATTCTACTGTGGGCCCTGAGGAGGCTGAGATCATGGTGGGCCCAGGGACCAAGTTGCCCGGGACTATCGTCCTGGATGTTTTAGCAGAGAGACTTGGGACAAGTCACCCCCCCGAGATGCAGGCTGGCCGTGGTGTGCACAGAGCTGAGCTAGACCAGGGACCTCCTGAGCACATAGCAGAGCTTCAGAGGGATAAGTTGGAGCAGCGAAAAGGGCAGCAATCCCTGACCAAGCGAGACTTGGGGGCTGGATTGCTAGCTGAGCTCGCGGCTGAGAACCTCCCCATTGGCCCTTCAGAGCTGAGACGAGTGGGCCGCAGCTCCAAGCAGCTGGCCAGTGTCCCTGAGGGGGAGCCAGAGGCTGGGGCCATGGGGGGCCGAGGCCAGTGGCTGCAGGTGCTGGAAGGGGACTTCTCGCACCTGGACATCAGCCTCTGTGTGGTGCTCTACTCCCTGTCCTTCATGGGACTGCTGGCCATGTACACCTACTTCCGGGCCAGGATGAGGGTCCTGAAGGGCCATGCCAGCCACCCCACAGCCTGAACTGTCCAGCTGGGGAGGGCAGCAGGAAAGGAAGCTGCTATCCATGGGGCTCTTCCAGCCCCCTGCCCCCCTGTCCCCCCTTGCTTTGTCCAGGGAAACCTAGGAAAACCAGTTGCTCCAGTGAACCTCCTTGGTCCTTGTGGGAAGGAGTGTTCCAGAGACACAAAGACATGCACAGGGTCCAGGCTCATCGGACAGCACAGGGGGCAGGGGCAGCCTGGCACTACATTCCAGGAGGCTCTGTCCCCTGGCCTCTCAGCACCAAATTCCTCTCTTTCAGCTTATTTGAAATCCTGCCTCATTCTTGCTGAAGCTTCAATGTCTCCTGCTTGGTCTTGGCCCTAAATTGGGCAAGTGATCCACAGTTTCCAAGGCTTCCCATCAGAGGAGGGTCCCCAGGCTGAGTGGGCTGGAGCAGAACCCACTACATTCCAGGGCCCCGTCCATCCCACCCCCTTCTGGATATGAAGAGGCCTTCGCGCCAGAAGGACTGCCTCTGGCCCTCTGTGGCCTGTGCAGCCTCCAGCCCCTCAGGCTTCCTGATTGGGGGGGTGGCTTTAGCATAGGGACTGGAAGCTTGTGGAAGTCATGCTGACCTCCCAGGTAACATCTGTGGGAGGAGTGCCTCAGGCTGGTCCTTCCCAAACCTCTGCTATAGGGAGTGCACAGGCTGGGTTGGTGTGGGCTTGCTCAGCTGGGTGGGTGATGGTCACTGGGCTGGGGGTGAGTGGCTGGCTTAGCAGGACCTGACGAAGGGGCAGGGATTTAGGTTGGGATGTTGGGACCTGTAGTGCCTTACTTTGGGCTTAGCTGGGAGAGGTAGAGTGAAGCCACAGGAAAAAGATTGTTGCTTTAAATGTGCTTTGGCTCTTCCTCCTTGGGCTCACCTGTCTGGGAGCTGGGTCTTTGTTGATTTTTGTCTCTAAAATGGATGCTAATCTTTTGAGTGTGGAGGGTGCTGGAGTGAGGGGAGTGTCATCTCTCAGGGGTCCACCTCCCATCATGTAGAGGTGAAAGGGCCAGAGGGGCAGGGGTTGCTGTACACACACATGCTTGATTTTCACTTTGCCCACTGCTCAGGGGAGGCTGTGGAATAAATTATTTTTGTTAAGGCAAGCACCCCTGTGTCCTCTAACTTGCTATTTGGAGACCTAGTGTCCAGGTCTGGACAGAATGTGCAAAATCCTGCCAGGAGGGATCCAGCCAGACGTGATTTCCCCTGGCTTATGGAACTCCTGGCCTGCAGGAGACATGTAGCCCCGTCACAGCCCCTTTCCCCTGGAGGGGCCCTCCCCGACTGCCCACAAAGCTCTCGGTGCCCCAGGCCCCAGCACTCTCCCAGAGCACCAGGGCAGGCCTCAGTGGAGGTGCAGTCCCTCCGCCTCCTGTTCCCCTGCCAACCCTGGGAGCACCTGCCCAGGTGCTCTCAGTTCTTCTGGAGGCACCTTTGTCTGCACCTGTCTGGCTCTCCTGGGCCAGGCATCCTGCATCTCCAGCTCCCTTGGAAGGAGGGCTTGTTTGTGAGGGGCCCTGGTCTGGCTGCTCAGCAGGGAGGAGCCAGCCAGATTAGAGGGCCTGCCCCTAATCCGGCCTGCTGGGTTTTACAAGGATCAGAGCAGCTGATAATGAACCTCATTAAGGGGGAGCGGGAGCCTCAATCCGATTTGGGGTTTTCTCTTTGACATCACTCTGCTCAGATGGTCTGGCTCTGGATGGAGGGGATGGGGTGCCAAGCATACCCCCTCTGCTAGGGCAGCTGGGGCCCTCCCCTACTGTGTCAGCCCTGTGTTACTTCGGGTGGATCCCAGCCTAGGGCTGCTCTGCAAGCCTCTCATCTATCCAAGGTTCCCCGTCTGTGTTCCTGCTCTAGTCATCCCCCTGCCCGCTCCTGGACCAGCTTTGCTCATCTCCCGCGCCACAGGCCCTGGCTGGCAGGCCAGCCCAGTGTCGGCAGTGCAGCCCTGGGCCACAGAGGGGTGAAAGAGGCTTCCACAGGCCAAGACTACTTGAGTACACTTGTTCCCCCCCACACGCGGTGCCTGCCACAATGCCAGGTGGAGAGGATTTCTATCCACCAGCACTTAGAGCGCCAGGGACTGTTTTCTAAAATCAAGCTCAGGTATTCAGAATTAGGGCCCGGCCTTGGGGGGTGGGTCTCCCTCCCCACAGCAGCGGCCTCCGGCTTCTTTTTGCCCTGTCCCAGCCCCTCTGATTGATAAGCAAGGGCTGGGCCTCCTCCTTAGCAGGACTGCTGCCTTTCACCTTGATTTCCCCAGGGCTCCCGGCAGCGTGGAGCATCGATAAACTGGCTTCGCCCACCAGCTGGTCCCCTCCCCTACCCGGTCTGCCAGGCCCAGAGCTGAGCTGGGCCTTCTGTGACTTGAACACCACCTGTCACCTCCGTTCTAGGTTGTTCTCTGCACCTTGGGAGAGCTGCCACACAGGAGAGGGTCCTCGGGGAAGCCCCGCACAGCAGAGGCTCCTTGGTCTGGGGCCGGACAGAGAAACTCGCCCCTGCCTGGGACACTCCCTACTGAGCACTCAGGAGCAGCTTCCTGGAGGAGCAGGCAGCTGAGCTGGGCTTTGAAAGATGTGTTAGCAAGGAAAATGTGGAGGAAAAGAGCATCGCAGAGGAGAAAGCACATGCCACCAAGCCAGCAAGCTAGAGAAAAGAAAATGTTAAAGTCATAAGGAAGAAAAAATATATTTACAGTACTTATTGAAAAAAAATTCATGTATAAGTGGCCCCATGCAGTTCAAACCCATGTTGTCTAAGGATCAACTGTAGTGCTTGTCTAGGAAAATTTGGGAAGGATAGACACCAAACTCTGCCCAGTGGGATATCTAGGAAGTGAGGTTGGGGTGGCCTTAAATCGAGGCTAGGACTAGAGTGAGATAAGGGAGGTACCAAGGGTGCAAAATTGAAGGAGACACTTATCCGCAGGGTCCCATCAGTGCAGGTCAGCACCTGAGAGTTAGCATCTCCTGAAATTTGGTGCCCAGGTGCCTCCACAGTCTCACCCTAGTCCTAGCTCTGACTTAAGTACTTAGGTACATTTTTTAATTTTTGCAATAAACATTCCTTTTGGAAAAAACACAAGGAAAATAAATAGGATTAAAGTATTTTAAGATTCCATTGTAAATAAGACACGGACTAAAGCCCTATTGAAAATAAGAGGCCAAAGTGTTAAAACCAAATGAGAGATGCTACTTCGGTCTATACTACTGGTAAAAAGAAAAAAAGAAAAAAAAAAAAGATGGTATTAGCTAGAGTGAGGGGAAATGTGATGTATGTTATTTACTGCTGTGTTTGAAACAACAATCATTTATCTTGCAACTTGAGCACATGGTAGCACGGTCACCTGGCTGTCGTCTTCTCTCCCAGCTCTGAGGACAGGGACAGTCGTGACCTTGGCAAGTGCTTCTCTGAGCCTGAATTTCTGTAAAGAAGGTAACACAGGGTAAAATGTGTGGCCATTAGCACCAGCACGTCACAGGAGTTCACTGTTATTATTCACCATGGGATATGGGATAGGGGTGAACTTGAGAGACCCAAGCAGCCAATGTCCCCGGGAGGTGTGAGCCACTATACCACGTGCAGGCTACTGCCAACTGGAAGTGGCTGGCATCCCGGGGAGACAGGGTACCCTTCCAGGGAGGGACTTCGTACCATCCCTCAAAGGCAAAACCACTATGCTTTCAAAGCTCTTTATTCATCTCAAAGTCCTTTTGCATACTTTCTTTTAAAAAAATTAATTTTGCTGATTGTTTTCAATAGGCAACACATACTTACGTATTCAAAAAATTCTGAAGGACAGAGAGTGAAATGCCTTCCTCCCTGTTCTGTCTCCCAGCCACTCAGGTCCCCTCCCTGGCAGCCAGCGGTACTGCTAGCTTCCTGTGTGTTCTTTCAGACCTGTTCTCTGCAAATACGAGGAAAGACACGTACTCTGCCCACCATTCACTTGGTGCTGTCTGCACTTAATGCTGCACCTTGAAGACCCCTTCATCAGTTGCTAAGTCAGTTTGCAGGGGGAAAAACAGCCAAGCAGGGGGCTTGCACTATAAGACTTTTTTTAAGTGTGATTTTACCATAGGAACAAATAAATGGAATCAATGGATGATAAGGAAAGTCCAAAGGAAGAGCCATGAATATATGAAAATGTGAGGTCTCGTAAAAGTGGTATCATAAGTGGATGGGACGGTCCATGGTGTTGGGGACACTGGCTCACTATATGGAGAAAAACAACTGCACCTCTGTCTTATAACAGGGATGGACTGGAGATGGATGAAAAACCTAAACATGAAAGATAAAAATTATAAAGCTAATAAAAGAAAATGTGGGAGGCTATCATTGCGACATAGCAGTGGGATAGCACTTCTTAGCCAAGACCCAAAGTGTACAAACATCAGAATGAAGAGCCTCTGCTCATGGGGAGGTACCATGGGCAAGGAGCAGGAAGATACAGGCTGGGAGGAGATAGGCACAATGTCTGAAACTGCCCCTGTGGGCATCGACAGCCCTGTGGGGAGACCTGGCAGGAGACTGTTCTTGCTGGGATCAGGGAGGGACAAGGCTATCAGGTGAATAAATCGTATGACACAGCTGACAAATGGCTGTCAGGCCAGGAGCTAGGCCCTCCCCCAGCCAAGGGTGAGGGGGTCCAGCCCCTGATGGCTCTCAGACCAGTTTCTTCACGGCCACCACAGGTCAGACCACGTGCACAAGCCCTGAAGTGTGTGTGGTAAACCGGGCAAATGACCCTGACGAGTACCAATTTCTACCCTTCAGGAGCAATTCCCGTGGGCCTATTCCAGAGCGACAAGTGTGAAATGCTCCTTCACGGTGGATTACCAGCCAGAGGAAGCTGTCACCTCCAGGCGCTGGGAGAGCGGGGCACGTTCTGTTTGTCCCTGGGAGAATTCCTTTCTGTGTCTAGCCTGTGGCCTGAGCAACACTTGCTGTCACCACTGTCCTTTTTCTATGACCAAGAAGACTGAATCAGTGTTGTGTGCATGTTTTTTGTGGAAGGGGGAGCTTGCCACAGCAGGCCATAGTCACAGATGATCAGACAGGGGAACAAAGAGTCTCCTATGGCAGTGCTGGTCCTCACACATTGTGCCCCTCCAGCTGAAAGCTTTGGTGGGCTTCTCCTGAGGGCAGCAACGTTCAGAGCAGAGTTAAGTGTGCCTGCCCTCGAGGGCCGTGGCGTCTAGAGAGGGAGACCCACCTGTACCGAGTTCCATTACAATCCAGCCTGTGGATAGATGCCCCCGAATGGCTGAGGTGCTGTGGGGCTCCAGCAGTCACCTCCTCTTTAGGCAGGGAGGTGGGGGGTCATGCAAGAAGAACAGGGGTTCACCAGGATTAGCATGAAGGGCAGGGGTGGGGGAAGGAGAGGGGTGGGGAAAAGCACTACGAGTGAGTGGGTGGAATGGGGCCTGAACAGGGAACTGAAGGAATAGCCTGAAAGTTTTGACTAGATCCTGTAGGCAGGAGGGGCTGGAGGGTGTTTTAACAGGAGAGGGCACAGCCTTGAGTATTTTTTAGCAAGATACTCCTGGTGTGAGAGGTCCAGGCCTGAGGGGCAGGCTCTTCTTGTCCGGTAATACGTAAGTAGGACTTGTGGGTCCCCGGGTCTCAGGCTCTCCCACTCCATGGGCTTTGTGTGTGCCCTTCTCCCCACCCAATATCCTTCCCCACCAAACTCCTGCCTGGGTTAAAGGTCACCTCCTCTGAGAAGCCTTCCCTGACCATTCTCCACCCTTCCCTTCCATCAGGCTCTTCCCTCTGTAAGCCACGGCAAGCCTCAGCCTTTCCCTCTCGTTGCTGCCATCACATTGCTGAAGGGGAGTGCTGACCACTCGGCATCCCGTCAGACTGTGAACTCCGGGAAGGCAAGGGCTGCATCCTGTCCGTCTATGGATCTCTCTGTCACCCCGGCTGCTCAGTTAGTGGCTTGGCTGATGAATGAATGCATGGCCTCCAGGCTTACCAGTAAGTAAAACGCTTCCTGACTTTGCTAGGACTCAACTCCTCTATCTTAGGCTCACTCGGCTCTCTCTGCCCTGGATGCACTCAGCATCCTAGGGAGAGAAGAGACACCAAAAAGTATTAA